ACAAAATTTTTTTTCGTAAATTATTTATATAACTTGTATGTTAAAATTGAAAATATCTATTGAAAGTCTATAACAATTTCACCGCCGAATAAAAGTTATGTAATAACAGTTATACACGAACATAAATAAAATTGAAAAAAGGTGAGAAAATCCTAAAAAGCTTACTATAAAAAAGTTGTTTACTAAAAACACAACGATTAATGAATCGCCAACTTTCTTAATTTATTATTATTAAGATTATATTCTTCTAATTTTTGATATAACATCTATTTAACTAATTTAATTAAATTAAAAAAGTTAAGTAAGTTAGTAAATTATAAGAAATATGACATATTTTTCTTAAAATAACATAATCATCTTTTTTAATATCTACCTTTTCTCTCCTACTTGATTATAGTTAAGAGAATATCAATAGGGATAATTTAAAATAAATTGATAAATATGAGAAATAAATCTTATATTTAAGATTAAGATTAACTTAATAATTATACCTTATATTAAGGATAGAAAGAGTAATATCTTTACAAATTATGAAAGGTCAATGCGGTACTTCATTGGTTAAAAAAAAAATGTGGTGCTTCGTTGGATTCCATTTCATTGATGAAAACAAGAAAAACCTTTTTGCTATTACTCGTTTGTGCCATCTGCCACTTGTATTATTGTTGGCGATCAATTCTTTAATTGCTCCTCCATGTAGATGCCCTTTGTTTAAACAATAAATATATTAATTTTAAATGAGGTCTGTGAGACTTAATTACAAAAGCTATTTTAAGATTAATATAAAATACTTGTAAAATTAATGTTCTGACTCTTCAGAAATCATATTGTTTTTTGAGCCAAAATAAAAGTAAATCATCTTTTTCCAAAAGTTTTGGTACTCCTAATCAAGGTAAGACTATTGAAAGTTGTAATCATCATTAAATCAAGAGAGAAAATAATTCAAGAGTCCATAATTTTATCATAATTACTGATTAAATTGGGGTCAATCAATCATAATTAAAATAAGATAGTTTAATTATAAATATAAAAATTTATGTATAATTTCAAAGATATTAATTTTTAAATAAAAATATTAATTTACAAGTAAATTAAACATGCATAATAAAAATAGAGTTACTAAGACAAAAATTTGACTAACTGTTATTATTATTTTTAAACTTAAAACAGTATGTCGTTTTAAACTCCAAAAAAAATATAAAATCTAATCCAGTTGATGTATACAAAAACTTTAAAAAAACTAAGTCAGAAAACGAGATCAATGATATGATGGAAAAATACAGATTAGATTATAATACCATGCTCCTAATTGGTCATTATTATTGACGTTTTCCATGTTCAATTGCTTCCCAAACAAGTAAAATCCGCCATGGCCCCATTCTTTTCAAATCAACAACGTTGGGGAGGCACAAAGTATAAATCTAATCTAAATAATACTGCGTTCACTCCTTAATATAAAAACTAGTTACTTGATTTAAGTAGATTAAAAAAATTAATTAAGTTAGTTGTTTGTAATAAATAGGTATTATTTTTCTCAAAATATCTTTACTAATCAAATATATTGACTAGAATTATTATTACAAGGACTACCTTAAAAAAATAAATAAATATAAGAAATAAAATGTATTAGAATTTTATATTTAAAACTCAAACAAAACTAAATAAATTCTTATATAAGAATAAGAAATAATAATAATTAGAAAAATCTTACGAGCTTTCGTAGCCTTGTAATCTACGCGAGTTTGAAAAGGTCTACTTTCTGTCAATGGGCCCACTATTTGTGGCTGAGGTGTCTCAAAAGTGACCTATGTTGATTATTGAGTGACAGCACATGCTGGAATCTATATTCCCTACTCATCGAATCCGTGCCCAGGAATTAGGAAATGCTCACCCAAACGTCAGCATTTGGAATGATCCATCTACTTTTTTTCCAAAAAAAAAAAATATATAGTTCTTGCTCTTTACTCCTCTCATTTTTAATATAACACATATTTAACTAATTTAATTAGATAAAAAAATTTGGTAAGTTAGTTAATTATAAAAAATATGATATATTTTTCTTAAAATATCATAATTATCTTTCTTGATATCATTCCTTCCTTTTCTCTTAATTATGGTTGAGGAGTATCTATTGGAGTAATTTAGAAAAAATTAATAATTATGAAAAATAGGTCTTATATTTAGAATCAAAATTAACTCAATAATTAGGTCTTATATTAAGAAATGGAGGGGTATTAATTTCTTAATTCTTAATTTGAGTTAAGTTGATTCAAGATATTAGATACAGTAAAAATTAATTAAATTTAGGAATACTAGCTTCACAATATTGAATGTAATAAGAATTAATTAATTTAAATTACTAGATGCCGCTGAAAAATATTTGGATGATGAATACAATTTAATTCAAATAAACATACAAAATAATATTATTATTGTTGTTATTATCAGGGGTCCTCATCCCTTGTGTTTGGGGATGAGCCGGGTATGCTAGCATCTCCAAAATACTCTAACTATTTTTTTCATTTCATTTAAATTACAGAAACATTCTCTCCGTTTTGCAAATGTATATAAATTTTTTTTAAAATTAAAATGCACGTTACATAAGCTTCTCTTGTATATTTGAGATTTTATTTCTTTCTATTTAACTGTGATGACTGTTAAGTTTGACTTTTAAACTTTTATTTTGACAAAAATACCTCTCTTTAACATATATTTAAACTTTTATATTTGTCAAAAAATAATTTTTGATACAACAAAAAATAATTTTAATAGTGTATTTTCAAATTTTTAATATGTAATAAAATTTATTAATTTTGATTATATTATAACACTTTATAATTTTAATTTTTCAGTGCATAATGAAACTTATTTATTTAGGTCTCTTTTAAATGACTAGAAAATATATTAAATAAATATTTTTTATCATATAACATAAATTGTTTAAATTTGAGAGACTATACAAATCATTTAAATTTATAATTTAAAATTTTTAAATAAAAAATTGTTAGAAACATTTATAATGTATTTAGTCTATTATATATTTATTTACAGAATTAATCAAACTTCCATTCAAGGTTTTTATGCCTACATTAACTAAATTGATTAATTTTTTTATCCCAATATGACAAAATACTAAACAAATAATTATTTGTAAAAATAAAAAATAAAATTAAGGAAGAGGAAAAAATTTTAAATTTTTCAAAACTTTTTGGCCAAGATTTAAGAATTTAGCATTATGAAGGATAAATTAGTAAATAAAAACTATTTTAATATAAATTTAAATAAAAATATTTTTAAAAAATATTCTTAACGAAGTTAATGGTTTGGAATTAAGTGAATATTTTCAAAATAGAGAAGACGCTAGTGTAATTAGAGCAAAATATAAGGAAAGTTAAAGTATTTTACTTATATTATTAATTTTTTTTCAGAAAAATATTATTAATATTAATGTAAAACATTGAAAATATAGAAAATCATATATTAGAAGCCATGCTTTTTATGAGTTTTTTTTTTCCTGGGTGAAAAGCTTTTTAAAGTTGTGTCCCGCTTTTAATAAGTGGCATTACAATATATAATGGCGTGAAACTCATTCCAGCATCTACTCTTTTTTTTTTCCCCTCCTTGATATTCTAGCATGTACTCAAATCTATGTAAACCACTCCAATTTCAATTCCAAATGACTAAAATGTATGCTGGTACCCAAAAAAAAAAAAAGACTAAAATGTATATTTATACGATTTTTGGTTTTTAATATAAGATTGTTTTTTAAAGACTTTCATGGTATTAAATACAAGACATTTTATAAAAAGGTCAAGAATATCAAAATTTTCTTTTTCACAAATGCTCTTATTAATTGGATGATTGAGAGAGATTAGAGTAGTATTAAACGTAATTAAAATAGATTAACTTTAACTGGAAGGTATTTTTAAAAAATGGTAATAATTTTTTTAATGGTATGAATAATTTTTAAACACTTTTCTTAATCTTTATGAAGTAATTTAAAGTGTTTTATATTAAAAACTGATGGAGCATAAAACTAAAATGTTAAGTATCGGTTAACAACTTAACTTGCTTAATTTTTATAGATATAGACTTTGGTGATGCAACAAATTAAACTTAACAATAAAATAAATGTTTTAAAAAATTAATACAAATGGTTGGCAAAAATATATATATATATATAAATACACAAAACACTCAGTAGAAAATCAAACCATATTCATGAAATTTGATCACTATTTATAAGCTACTTCCAATTCTTAATATAAAAGCTTATTTGACTTTTATTTTGGTCTTAATTATAAGACTCCAATCCACTTTGTCTCTCATATTTATCTATTTTTTTTAAGATAGTCCTTATAATAATGGTAGTTTTAGCCAATACACTTAATTAGTAAAGATATTTTAGAAAAGATAACATTTATTTGTTACAAATAACTAATTTAACTAATCTTCTTAATCTATTCAAATTAATCAATAAGTTCTTATATTAAGAAGTGAAGGTAGTATTAACTTTTTATAAAGATTATATAACAGTTTATTTAAAAGAATTGTATTCCAATATAATTTATCCTTTTACCATTATTTACAATTATTATAATTATAATTTTTTCATGCACAAATGGAATTATACTACCTGTTCTCAATATAAGACTTATTTAACTAATTTGAATAAATTAAAAAAAAGTTAAAGTTAGTTATTTATAATAAATATGAGTTAATTTTTTTGAAGTATTATTTTAATTATGATTACTCTTAAATAAAAACTTTTTAACATATACAATTAATAGAGATATTTTAAAAATGAATAATAATTTTAGAAGATAATATGAATTGAATTGACATGCTATACCATTACATTAGGATGTGGAGGAAGTACATTGATATTCATATGGGGAAATGACAATTATTTAAAAAAAAAAAAAAAAAACGTAAGCACGTGGTGCGTAAAATATCTTTATTTGCCAATTTTAAAAGAGGAGGGATCCGAGAAGAGGGAAACACAGAAAATAGTGGAAGGATCTGCTTCTCTCCAATTTCTGCGTTTGAACTTGGATTCCAGTTTCTGGATTTCGCTTTCCCTCGGCATCCTTTTTATTCTTCTTCTCGCTGTTGTTCTTCTTGTTGGTTCGTACTGGGAATCGCATGGGTGCCGCCAACACCTGGGACGCCATGGATCTTGCCGCCCAAGTTCCCCAAGACCATGGCTCTCAGATTCTCTCCTCCTCTCTCACGATTGATCCGTCCCTCTCTCCTCCTGAAATGAATCCTCGCATCATGTTCGTACTCACCACTTTCTCTTTTTGAACGTCCGCATCTCCTTTGCGTCCTAGTATTTTGGATTTCTTTGTTTTCCTTTTTCCTTTTTGGCTTTCTATTTGAGTTGATTCTTGTGTCTGGTTGCCACGAAATATGAGAATATGGGTGATATGAGTCAGATTGGAATTGGATGTGAATTTTGTCGTTTCCCTCAGTTGTATTTTTATCAGAAGAAATCTTCTATGTAACTTAAAATGTATTGCGGTTTCATTCGAAGTGGATATTCAGTTCCGGCTTGCTGCCTTCCCCCGGTTCCCCCAATTATTATTCAGATGCTATCTTTACGTCTTTCTAATAATAGTTCTGAGCTGGAGAAAATGCGGTAGTTACCTTTTGTTGTGATTCTGCAGTGAGCTGTGCAAGGATATGTTCAAGCAGTGGTCAAATTTGGATGATTCTCGCTTTGATATTGAGACAGTTTCTGGAGGCATCACAAATTTGTGTGAGTTATTTCCTTATTGTTACCCGCGATAGTGATTGGTATTGGAAGTTAAAGTTTGATTTTGCTAAAGTTATTTTATTTCTTTTCTTTAAGTTAAGGATTGCTTGTTTTTTTAGTTATTTATTTAATAACGTTTCTTTGCTTGTAAGATTAGCTTGAGTGTTTTATTTCGACTAAAATAAGATAAGTTGGAGTGGTATTTTTATTAGAATATAATTAACAGTAAGTTACTTCTATTGTTTTGCTACTCAAAAAAATAAGTTCAGAAGAAAAATTAAATCGTCAATTTCTATTGAGTTTTATAATTAGAAATAAAGTAACTAAATTGCTTCATATTCATGCTTATGCACTATGGCCTAACCGGTAGTTTATCAATAACTCCCAGTACTCAAGGTTACGGTGAAGGAAGAAAATGGTCATGATGTCTCGATAACCATCAGATTGTATGGACCATATACCGAGTACATCATCAACCGTGAACGGGAATTGCAGGTTAGGCTGCCTACTATATGATAATGTTAAATTGTGTGGTTAATCTTGCATTGGAATCCAGTGACAATTTGACCCTTATCATTCCTGTAAATCTTGCACTGGAGCTAAAGAACTATTGGAGTCACAGAATAGCTTAAACGAGATATGCTCATGGCAATGCTTCTGATTGTGATATTCTGTGTCCTTTTCTGTTTATTGATTCCTTTTCTACTAACTGAAATTGAATCATTTTGACCGTTGTATATTGCATAAGGTTTTTCTTATTAACTATTATATGCTTCTATGAGCTTCAATTATGACAAATAGGCTTCAGCAAAGTTAGTTCAGTGAATTCCTTCTATTCTTTTCTTTTTTCCCATTTATATGATGGGAATAAGAATCTAGTGCTGAAATAGCCGAATGAGTTCCACTAGTTTTCTACTCTATTTAAGTTGTTTTCATGTAACATGCGATATCCAATTCATACCACTATTTCCTTGTCCTGACTTGGCATTAAAAATGCAGAAGTTAGAATCAGGATGTCTGCAAACAACGGAACAATTTTTTTAAATTTTTTTTTTTTTATAAGACCAGCTATGATGTATGGAAAGCTACCGGAGTTATTTGCGATAAGAAGGTACCTGAGAAACTTAAAGGAAAATTTTATCGGACTGCTATAAGACCAGCTATGATGTATGGTAGTGAATGTTGGGCAATAAAGGGAAAACAAGAGCACAAAGTCAAAGTAGCAGAAATGAGGATGTTGAGATGGATGTGTGGTCATACAAGAAAAGATAGGATTCGAAATGAAAAGATCAGGATAAGAGTCGGTGTGGCACCTATCCAAGAGAAAATGGTTGAAAATCGCTTAAGATGGTTTGGACATGTGCAGAGAAGGCCCTTGGAGGCCCCGGTGAAGAGGGTGGATCAAATAAGATGGAGTCCCATAAAAAGAGGCAGGGGAAGACCGAGAAGAACGCTGAATGAGGTCATTGAACGAGACCTCCTAATCAACAACATATCTAAGGATTGGGTTGTTGACAGAGCACGATGGCGTCGTGTGATTCATGTAGCCGACCCCACCTAGTGGGATAAGGCTTGTTGTTTTTTTTTTTTTTTTTTTTTTTATATACTTGATCTTCTTCAACAATGAGTTAATGGGACTGGTGATCCATGTTAGAAAACACAGCTTGGTTCATTTGCATAGAAATGCACAAAAATCTTTTGCTTTTATGCAAATATACTCCGTTATTTTTACTTGCTTGGCCTACTTTGTAATAGTTAGCCAAATATTATGTTTAGGCCACCAAATACATCTCAGCTGCAGGATTTGGAGCTAAATGGCTTGGAATTTTCGGAAATGGCATGGTGCAATCTTTTATCAATGCGCATACTCTATCTCCATCAGGTACATATTCGACAAATTGCTGTAAGGGCAGCTAGTGACTTAGTTTGGTTGGTGAAAAGTCAATGTAATATTTAAATCATCTGATGTGGTTGTTCATGGTTCTTTATAAAGTTTTTTGCCGAAACTTCAAACATCTTTAAACAGTTATTCTCCCCACAAATCATGCATATTTCAATAACATGTGGGCTTATGCACTGTATGGAGTTTGGGAAATAAGTTGCATTATTTATGGTTTATGAACTGCCCAACTTCTTAAAGACCCTGTATATGTATTGTACTGTAGCAGATATTGAAATTACTTTTCTTGATTGATAGTTATCATCTATGGGAAGACTTCTTATTGGATTACCTTGAATTTACAGCTAATTTGATAGTAGATTTACTTGATTATGCTATATTTGCCAAGAAATAAAGACTTTGAATTGATTGAGCCTTGGACTTACCTTTGAATTGAATTTTGAATTTTTACCTCACCCTGCACAGCTTTAGTTATTTTTATTTTCTGATGTGCTGACAATTTGGGATGTAACCTCAGAATATAAATATTGCTCACTTGAACTCTGCCTGTTTGGCTACATGTTTAACATCATTTATGGATTATTTTAATGGCAGAGATGAGGGAGCCAAAGCTGGTTGCTAAAATTGCAAAACAAGTGAAAAGATTTCATCAGTTGGAAGTTCCAGGTTCTAAGGAACCTCAGTTATGGAATGATATATTCAAGTTCTTTAATCAAGGTCCTTTTTTCTTTCGTGTGATGTAATTAATGATTGACTTTGTATTCTCTTTAATCCTTACTCAAGTCACGTCTGTTTGAAGTGAATTTCATTGGCGTGGATTTTTTTTCTTTTTTTTTGAATGGTAAAGGTTGATCATATAGGTAGAAATCTAAAGATGAATCATGAACAACATTCGCAAACAAATTGGCGCATCTATTTGCTTTTCTAAAAGCATACTGGAGTATCACTTCATCATCCACCGCAATCATCTCTCTTGCTCTTCCATGTGATAGATAGGTTCTTCCTTCTATTGACAATTGGGACACGCTCCTCACCACGCCTTCCTGGCTTTTCTCTTCTGCATGCTTGCAGACTGCAGTTCATGTCTTCCTTCTCCTTTGTGAAATCTGACATCTCAGTTTCCCCCATGTCTCAAGCATATTGGTCTTCCATTATTCTCCCCTATATCTTGTGGTCTGCTATGCTATCGTTTGATATAATAGTCTGCTCCATAATCTGTGGTTGAGGCTCACTTTCTGAACTCTTGCCCATATCTGGCTCCCCCTGCATTTCCTGATAGTGTCCACTTCTGTTCTTTTCCTTAACAGCCTCTTTACCTATATTTAGTGGCCTCATGATTGAGCGATTACAACTTGGTGGACTCCTTCACTATTTTTGCTCTTTTGCACTGGAGGGAATATTTGGGACCTTCTATTTTGACCTTTTTCTTTGATTTTGGCCAAAATGTCGGGCAACCCTTCAATTTTGTCCTGCCTATATTTGATTTTCTTATGGAAGTGGGTTTTAATCTTCATTGAGCTTATTAGGATCTACCTTTTATCCCATTAGTGGCAATTGCTGAAAGCAAAATGATGTATTTTGCAATGCAAGCAGCCTAAGAGTAGAGATTCTGATGAATTTTTTCTTCTTGTATGCATATGTGCACATAATTGGATTTCATATTTTATTAAGTAGAAGATCCTTATTTCCCACGTACTTTTTTCTATTGCCAGATTTGAAAGAACTCCTTGAATTTTTAAAGTCTGACTCCTGCCAAGGGATAGTGAACTATATATGCTTTAAAGTTTGACATTTCAAGTATATGAGTTGCTGCTTTTTTTTCATTACAGCATCTGCCCTTGAATTTGATGATGCTGAGAAGCACAGGACTTATAAGACAATTTCATTTCAGGAACTCCACAGTGCAATTTTGGAGCTCAAGGTATTTGTACTTTCCATAAATTTCCTGAATAGGCAATTTTTAATTAATCACTGCATTGGACAGACTTTAGCATTCTTATTGCATGTAGTAAATATTATACTTTTCGATCCTTTTCTCTTTGTTCTGAATGCACTTTATGAATGATACTGTGAAATCCTTGGCTGAACCAGCTTTAGTTAATGAAGAATTTGATAATTATCTTCTCTTCACTGAAATATGTTTCTTGATATTGCATCAGGGGTTGACAGATCGGCTGACTTCTCCTGTGGTTTTTGCTCACAATGATTTGCTCTCTGGAAATATAATGATAAATGAAGAGGAAGGTATTCACAAATATATTCAATAGTCCACTCTAATTGGTTCAGGATGAGTATGTTTCTGATAGGACCATTAGCAGTTAGTGTGCTCATGCTTCAGGGAGCTTATTAATAATTAATTTTACAATCTTGCATATTTTGAGTGCTCTGCCCTTACTCTGTCCCTTTGAATTGCATCTTCTCTATGAACCATGTGAGTTCTTGAGATTATATAAATTCCCCTTTTTCAGATTAAGTTTCTTCCTTCTCTTTCTTTCTTGCTTTTCAACATTTGTGAATGTTTAATAAAAAATCTTGAGTAAACCAGAACTTATTACTGTTGGCATGCCAAAATTTAAGTAGCTTTTTCAATTGTGTAATTCAATGGTTGCTTGATGGTTTCTCTATGAAATATTTCACTGCAAGGATGACGAGATTCGGACAATAGCACCCTTTTTTCAGTTATGGAAGTGAACTAATACGATAGAACCATACAGTGATCATGCAATAAAACTTATTGCGTGTGCTTGATGCAGGAAACACATTCTCTGCATCATATATCTCCATTTATAGCAAACCACTAAGAACTAAGGAGACTGACATGCCTCTGATGTTCACATCTGGCATATGAAGTGCAACATTCACACATGAAGCAAGAATGCTGAACTGATCAACTTATTCATTATTATTATTATTATGATGTATTTTTCTCCTTCAAATTTCCAGATAAACTTTACATCATTGATTATGAGTATGCATCATACAACTTTAGAGGCTTTGACATTGGAAACCATTTTGCCGAGTATGCGGGCTATGATTGTGACTACAACTTGTATGTCTTTGTAACCTATTCTCATTCTGTTTGTTTCTCTCCCCTTTTGTTTAATCAGTTTTCTAATTGGTTGTTGACCATTGTATTTATGCAGATACCCAGATAAAGATGAACAATATCATTTTTTCAGGCATTACTTGCAACCTGACAGACCACACGAGGTTAATTTTTATCTATTTTATTTTATTTTGCAGATTGCTAATGATCTATAATGAGATGCTGTCTTTTAAACAAGCCCATGTTTATTATGTTTATTACATCCACAATCACACTGTTAGTAAACGATACAAATCTGGGCCGATCCTGCTCAGTTTAGCTGTAGAATGCACCCATCTGTCTAACTAATTATTCACACAGTCAGTCTCTTTAATGCATTGAAGATTGAAATTGATACTCAAACCTTATCAATGGAATTAATTTGCCTTTTATATTAGTGAGTACATTTTATACCAACGTCTATTCTGGGGGTTCTCAAACTAATCATTCGCTATCTCGATCACTTTTTTAGGCCCTTGGGCACTGAAAACTAAATTAGGTTGGTTCTGGGGTGTGGATCCCGGGATGCTGTCGGCTAATGATTTTCCACGACTTGTTACATCACTCGCTGTCACTAAGATGCGGACTTGATTTAACATTAGCTCAGGCATATCTTGTATAGTGGTTGCTAGACAGAGGGGTCTGCTGATCTCGTGAAAAATCAGTGTTATCAACTTTCCTGCATTTATATCATTAATTAATTATTTATTTTATGATATAGGTGACTGAGGAAGATCTCTATAGTCTCTATGTTGAAGCAAACACATATTCATTGGTTTCTCACGTTTTCTGGGCTTTGTGGGGATTGATTCAGGTATAATTTTTCTTCCTTTCTTTCTTGTTATACACTGCAAAATCATTCATATCCATGACCGTTATTTATTTATTTTTCTCACTCTCAACAGGCGAGGATGTCTCCAATTGATTTCGATTATCTTGGTTATTTTTTCCTGCGCTACAATGAGTATAAGAGACAGAAGGACAAGAATTTCTCCCTGGCTGAATCCTACCTCTCAAGAAGCATGGGTACGTAGATTTTTGTATTGCAATCACATGTAGGGTTTTCTTTGTATTGCTTGTACCATGGGGTCTCTGATTCATGTAGTTAGATATTTATGTAAAATATCTTTTGTAGCTGCTTATGGAAATAAAAACAAATTTTAGACAAATATAGACCTTTAGGGCCCTTTGCGCTTGTGCCCTTCGGTTGTAATCTTTAAAACAGGGTGATTTTTTTTTTATTTAATAAATGTTCCAGATTATTTGGTTTACACAATGGAATTGAATCACAGACAAAAAGAAATGAAAAATAATCCCTCCAGTCCCAAATGTGGCTATTAATTGGGAGTTTATTTTGGTAAATATAAGACCTAAATCCTATTATATATGTGCTGGGTTGAAAATCAGATTTATTTTTCACGATACAAGGTAAGATAGAGAGACCTTAAACTTTGAAATTGAAATTGAACTGAAGACAAAAATTGATGCCATGTAAATACTTCTAACCTACCAAGTGTAGTCTTTTCCCTCTTTTTAATCTTCACATTACTGACTGATGCTTTTTTATATAATTATATTTGGTATTTAATAGTGTTGAGTAATCTAGACTCAAGCGTTGTTGAGTCGAAATATTATGTAATCTTTACAGCCAAGTTTTTTTTTTTTCCCGATTCACAGTATTTGAATGCCCAAACTTTTGGATGTTGAGATTATTTTACTCCGGTTCAAAATATGAGCATTAAATTTTTGAAAGGAATTGGTATTTGTAAAATAAACTACAATTTATCTGTTAGTTTAATATTTTTTTTATTTTTACTCCTAATTAATTATATGTTTCTCTAATTTTTTTTAATTCATTCTCGCTCATCTCTTTTCACTCTCATTTTCTCTCCCACTCATCTTTTCTATAAATAAGAGTGTTTTAATAAAATAAATTGTTTTTTTAATAAATTTATTATCTTTAATTAATTTAACTAATTTTTTGAGTTGCCTGATTTAATTATCTAATACTTATATTTTGAGCTAGAATACTAAACTTGCTTCGCCACAAATTTGGCCCATGTAAGAAATGGAATAATGTAATAACTGAATATATACAAGAAAAATAATCGTTGATTCTTTTAATATACCTCAGTTTTGAATTAGATCAATATGATTTATTTTGTCTAAGTTATGTTCTTCTAATTTAATGTACTATAAATATTTATTTTTGAGTATATAAATCATTAACTTTTTATTTTACAGAATTTATTAGCTTTATAAAATCTTCGTTTAATTTGACGTTGACGTTGACGTTGTTTTAGCTTTATGTGCATTTCTATAGATGGCATTTCATAAATTCTATAAATTAAAATTGACAAATCAAATAATAAATGTCCAATTTAACAATATAGTGAATGTTTGGATTACCGTTTCCAACGACAAAAGTGTCTTGAAGATGGTGAAACTGAGATTACAAATTAGATAAAAAATATTGTTTGACTGGGCTAAGTTTTCCAACTAAGTGCCTAACTCAAAATCGAGATTAATCACAAGGAAGAGCGCTTTTGCCGAATCCAAGATGATTGACCAATTGACTAATTAGAAAACTAAAGGGGTATTCAGAATTTTAAAATTCCTTTTTTTTTTGGTGAATAAAAAAGTTTAGGAAAATTGGATTTTGCTTGCCAAAGTTAGGACATGTCTCCAAACTCAGAAAATACTTATATAGATATTTACAAATCGCTGATGAATAATGTCCTCACATTGTTGACAATAGAATTCGAACTTACAACTTATAAGTTATGAACTGACTTTTTATCAACTAGATCAACTTTTATTGGTATAATTTTTTTAATTTCTGTTATGCTGACCCTGGAAAATAAGCAATTTTCCTTAAATTTTAACATGTTAATTCAATCATAATTTAGTACGTCAGAACTATATTATGTGATCCCGGGGGGGAAGCCAGGAACAAGAGATGAGTTCCACGATTTCATCTTTGTAAAATTTACATGCATAGAGGTAGGGAAACTTGCGAAAATCAATATGAAAGTGGATAGAGACCAGTTCTAAAAAAAATATAGATATATTCCTATGAAAAAAAACTCCTTTTATTCTTAATATAAGATCTAATTATTGAGTTGATCTTGATCCTAAATATAAGACCTATTTATCAGATTTATCAATTTTTTTAAATTACCTCTATTGATGCTCGCCTAACTATAATCAAGTAGGACATGGATGGAGGATATTAAGAAAGATGATTATGATATTTTAGGAAAAATATGTTATATTTTTTTTATAATTAACTAACTTATCTAGCTTTCTTAATCTAATTAAATTAGTTAAATAGGTCTTATATTAAGAACTGGAAGAGTATAACTTTATAACAACTTGCATTATGTTTTTAATTATTTTGTTAAACCAAATGGAAATGAGTTACTAGTGAAACAAGTAAAATAAATTGTTTTGGAATAAATAATATTTATTGTGTACCCTTATGGCCTTAAGTAGTAAAAAAGGATAAATAAGGCTGAATAATGATGAATAAAATTATGATATACTACCTCTGGTTTTTGACTTAACTCATTTGTGTAAATTAAGAAAATAATTAAATTGTTTATCTGTTAAAAATATAGGAAAAATCGCAAAAAAAAAAAAAAGATCGTGAAATTAGAAAAATTACAAATTGAGACCCATGATACCATTAGTATGAGTTTTGACAACAATAGTATGTGTTTTGATAATAATTTTTGTAAACCGATCCCTGTGCATAATTTCTCTAATTTTACAGTCTTTTTTTGTGATTTTTCCAAAAATATATGTTGATTTTTTAAAATATTTTATTAAATCATTTCCATTACAATCTACCCTTTGATACTATTCTCCTAATATGTACAATAAATAAAGATAATTTGTAAAGGAAAATAATAATAATAATAATAAAATAATAACAATGAGAATAAATAAATTAAAATATTATATTTAAAATTAAAATTAACTTTTAACTAGGTTTTATATTAGTAACCCAACATTACACTGTAAACAATATTTATCTCTGCTATACCTCGCCGCACATGATGTTATGGCAAATGGGAATTGTCTTTGCTGACAAAGATTGGAAGTTTCCCTTATTGCTATGTCTCGCACCTCGCAACTCACCCCCAATAAAAAAAAACTACTTTTTTTTTTTTTGGGTTGAATTCAAGGTAATTGTTGCCGATTTTATCTCCCAGCATAGTAGACTTTCTGAGAGAATCAAAATGAAATTTTATATAAAATTAAAAAAATTCAAAATGCATTTTTTCCATGCATAAAATATTTAAATTGCGGCCACTTTTTTCCATGGGTCTTCCACTTTTACTCTTATGTGTGTAAAATATTAAAATCGCAGGATAATGACCAAACTTAGAATCTTTTCAAACGAACATGTTCCCACCCTTTTGGCGGATTAGAGATTTTGAAGAAAACCGGGGGTTTTAGTTGACGGGGGCTTAGGGATAAAAAAGTTAATATTACTTTTAATCCCTAAAATTTAATCTTATTGTAATTTTAGCTCATGAAATTTGATTTCATTTTGACTATACTCCTTAAAATTTAATTTCGTTTTGATCCACTTAAAGACTTTTGGTCCCTCAAAATTTTGTTTAAGACCCAAAATAAAAAATGAAATCAAATTTTAGGAACTGAAAAAAATACTAACCCTACATGAAATTAAGACATTTCTTTTGGTATCTGATACAATAACATATTTATAAATTATGACTATGATTATAAATAAATACAACCACAAAATCTACAGTTACAACGAAATTTCAATTCTCTAATACATTTTCTTTTATTTTCTTCAGTATGATACCACAACTTTTTTTTTCACGCGACTCTGCTGCACTCAAAAACAACAACACAACCGTCAAAAGAAAATTTAGAAACAATAAACCAAACACCAAATAGTTATCATACTAATGAGTAAACTTTTGATATAATATATCTCTAATCAACATCATATTCATGCCATTCATTCTTGAAAGTGCAGAACTATACAAAGCTTAAAACTTTCCAAATGGTAAACCATGGGTTACACATGATCAATCTTTTCTTCCTCGAGCAATAATAGTACCTACAAAACTCATAAACGTTTACAACTGCGCACAACTATATAGGCATTTTGAATATACTAGTTCTCAACAAACCCAGAAGTGAAGGGCTTGATCTTTAAACACAGAAGGAGCCACATGAATAGTTGTGCACACTTGTAAATGTAAAAGTTGGGTAAGTGTTGATCTGCTCTAATTACTCATGAAAGATGTTCCTCACATCATCACAACATATGACAACTCAATTCTTAACATGTAAATTGTAACTACCTATCAATATCTGTAGCACTGTGATTACTAAGACAAATTTGAATCCTCTGAAGTACTTTTATAAGATGTAGTAATAGAGAAAGATAGAAAGAAAGTAGTGGGTTCCGCTTCTGTCTGTGAGTCCACGTACGCAGAGGTGGGACCCACCATTCTCTTCTAATCTCTAGTGAAGTACTTCAAATTACTAAGACAAATGATCTATGTGAGTAGATCCCCTCCAATGATACAAGGGATAAAAGCGAAGCAAGAGAGCCGTAGGAACATAACCTCCTGATCAGCCGGTCTCACTCTTATCTTCATTTCCCAAATCACTGGAAGAGATTTGAGTCTCATAAGCTATGTATCATCTCTCACAATGAGCATGATCCCTAGGGTGTGAAGCAAGTCATAGTTGACATTCACTGTTGATTCTTCGACACTATACAAACCCTAAGCTTGAAGAACCTGACAGTGCACTATGTGACTTTTGAGTCGGTTTCGGCCAGCAAGACTAGACAGAGATTTGTTACAAAAGACTTGAACTGTCCCTTTCCTGCAATAGTTTCCCACAAGTGTTCAGCTGATGATCCTCTCAAATCTTCAAATTTGGAAACATCAACCAGAGAAATGCTCATATTGTTCCTGATGATACAAAGCTTGCCGTTGAGCGGAACAAGAGCAGCTGCCTCCATAGCCCGTGAGTTCCCCAAATGTATTTTACTGTCAATATGCTTGCTCCATGAATCAGACACCTCATCATAAACCCTAAGTTTGCAGCCATCCTTGCAGTCTAAAGCATAGAGCTGTCCGTTGAGGGCAGTACTTGGGTTCCTCCAGCCAGTGACCATTCCGTCAAAAACAGGGCACC